GCCTTAAGCTTCAGTGAGATCAGGCGAAATCTTAATCATTTCTCCTTAAGACAATTTGAAATGAAACAAATGACAAATGACAATGAACCTTTATCATTTATTTTTACTACATTTTGCCAATTAAGCAGTATAAATAAAATTTAACTTCATTGCAAGATCAGACATTATTTTACGAGAGTCATCCAAAAATAAGTTATAATCTCAACATGCATACGTTGCCAGTATATCGAAATTTCTAGAAAGTATTGTTTATCGGCCTATCTTCTGAAAACTCAATTTGGAAAATCACATAAGTTAATTCTAAGCGTAAAAGTCATTAAAATTTTAAAAATTGAAAGTTACACGGGCGTACGAGATTTGCGCCGATTTGATTTTTTCATTAGCGTCTATATTATTATTTTATCACTAGCCCCGATACTATATTTGCTATACGAGTAAATACATGTAAATGTTGTACACCTAGAATGTATATTGGTAATATATGGATATAAACAGTGTTCCCTTATGTTTAAGATAATTTTGGTCAAATTGTTCGAGAACTTCGTTTTGACGCGAGAAAGAAAAGATGGACTGACAAGAAAGGAATATATCAGATGTGTGGCATATAAATACTCGACAAGAACATATAATAATTCATTGTATTACGTTTTTATGGATTTTATTGTGGTGCTTTAAAATTGCTGTAAATAGAATTTTACTCAGTGATTTAAGTAGATGTATACGGAGTGCACAGATATCTTTTAAATTTACATATCCTGCTCGAAATTCTACTCCCACCTCCCGTTTGTGAGCAGGGGACAACCGTTATATACATATTATAATTGACAATTCATAACATATGTACAACTGGCTTACGGAAGAGGTTTATATGATAAATAAAAAAAAACTTTCACCTACAATTAACCTGTACACAATCGGTGCAAATGAAAGGAAAAATCGGCGCAAGTGAAAGAAAAAAAAGTGAAATAAAGATCGGAGCAAACGAAAACAGCCGAGTTAAAAATGTACATTTTTTCATTTTTATTAGAACGGAGGTTACAGATAGTGTAGTATCTTTTGTGTCCATTTGTGTTTAATTTCCACTAGATATTAGTGCGACGCTTAATTCCACTTTTCTTTGAGACGTATTTTTTAAAAGCGTACACAATGTTTGAATCCGTGAAAAACGCGAAAATAGGACGTAATAATTTGACGTTTTTTCATGGCTAGAAGCAACGTCATAGAGCTTTTATGTCACTACCAAGTTGCGTTAGTTGATGGGCATAACCAATAGGCTGTTTGGTCTTTAAAGCAAAACCTCAACTTTACATCGTACAAATGTAGCTTTAAAACAGTACTTCATTTGGCACTCCGTGTTTTTTTAACCATATAACAGCTCGATATTGAGATGACATAATAATGTTTTTAATATTTGAGGTAAGAAGAACCTTATTAAAGTATAGCTCTTTTAAAATATGATCAAAAAGATATTTGTTTTTGTATTAATATTCGGCATTGACTATACAAAACAAAACAGCATAAAAACCAAATGTATTGCAGACATTAAAGATGTTATTTTTAACATTGATTATTTAAATAAATAAAATCTATGGCAAATAAGACGATTTTGATTTTGAAAATTATCAATTTCCCCCAACTAAGTAGCAATTTACCAAATTCATCTGCATACGAGATACACATTTCCCAACTCATTCGGTATTCCAGAATTTAGAGTTTCTACTCAGACTTATATATATCTAGTTTAAAAATGTGTCCGATGATCCCGCCCGCCAACCAAAATGGCCAGTATCTGAAAAGAAAGTTGACGAACCAGGGGTATGTCAAATAACTCGTCCATTTTTGTCTCACATTGACGGAGTCCAAAAGCAAAATATAGGTATGCTGTTTCCGGCGTCGGCGGCGGCGGGGCCGGTGGCGGCGTTAACAATGTATTAGTTTGTGATTAGCTCTAGTTTATTGTGAAACATAAGTGGTAGGTCAATCATATTTGGTATGCAGTTGCATTAGCATTGGGACATCTCATTTCCATGGAGATTATTTAGTCCTGCCCCCTCAGTCATGGTCTATTGACTTTGAAACTTTTTCTTAGTTTACATGTATTAGTATGTGATTAGGTCAGTTTATTGGAAACCACTAGTGGTAGGTCAATGATATTTGGTATGCAGTTGTATGAGCATTGATATATCTCATTTTCATGGAGATTACTTGGCTCCGCCCCCTTTGTCATGGTCTATTGACTTTGAAAAATTTGCTTAGTGTTCAAGGGGAAGCATTAGTAGTAGGCCAATGTTAATTGGTATTAAGTTGTAAAAGCATTAGCACATCTTATTTCCATGGAGAATATTTGGCCCCGCCCCCTCAGTCATGGTCTATTGACTTGAAACTTTTGCTTAGTTTACATGTAATAGCTTGTGATTAGATCAGTTTAAGATTAACTGCTTATGTGAAGTCAATGATATTTGGTATGCAAATTTATTGGCATTTGCAAGAATCATTTCCATGGAGATTATATTGGCCCACCCCTCTTCATGGTTCATTGACTTAGTTTACAAGTTAATGTTTTATGTTTAGGTTTGTTTAAAGGGAACGACTTAAAATAAGTCAATGGTATTTGGTATGCAGTTGTATTAGCATGGGCACATCTCATTTACATGGAGATTGTTTAGCCATGTACCTCAGTCATGGTTCATTGACTTTGAATATTTGCATAACTTATGTTACATGTTAAAGTATTGCTTTTTTAATTTCAACATTAACATAATTAAAATTACAAAAAGGCGAGACATATCTCTTTGATAACAGTTTGTTGGTCATATTATTTTGGCGTGCCTCGGTACTTTTACATTCCGCGATTGTTTTATTGTGCTTTTTTTTGTCATTCATTTTTTTACATGTGCTTTGTCTCTATGCCATTATACTTTCTGTTTTGTTGGTTTTGACATATTTGTTTATTTGTTTTCTATTGATTAAGATTATAATACAATAATGACTACTGTTCCCCTATTTTGTCATTTTAACCTGTTATGACTGTTTGTTTTGTTCACACATTGTTGTCAATATTATGGAGTTTTATGCGACTGTCATACAAGAGAGAGGTTAAATTTCCATAAAATCTGGTTTAATTCATCATTTTCTACATAAGGAAATGCATGTACCAATTCAGGAATGTGACAGTTGTTTCCATTCGTTTGATGTGTTTGAGCTTTTAATTTAGCCATTTGATACGTGACTTTCCGGTGCTGAACTTTCCTTGTCGTTCGGTTTTTTTGTTATTTTACTTTTATATTCATTCATAAAAAATTAATATCCATTGTACTATAGTTATCTGTAAGTATGTATGCAATATTTCAATCAGTTTTCACAGATATACCACGCGCCCATTGTTCTTCTAAAGTAAATGTTCACATTGATGAATATGAGAGAATTTATTAAATATAAAAATTCGATTTAATTAATTTTTGGGAAATTATTTAAAAATTTTCGAAATAAGATTGATAAATTTGTGTACATATACTGCACATTTTCATGAAATCACAAATAAGGCCGTTAAGATTGATTTTTTTGAATTTTTTACGTAAACTCTAAGGGGATTTCATTTTTGTTAGTAGAGAGGTTACTCTATATCTGTTAAGAACAAGGAAATTTACTTGAGCAGAGATGAACAAATCATTTCAAGTTGACACTAAACCTCTTTTAGGAGAAAACAACTCAGATAACCGAAATAAACATTATGAACTGATATTTCTGTCAGTATCATTTTGAAACTGGTGTCTGCCTAGACATAACCCCATTCAGTTTAAGCATTACTTCGCTCGAGATTGAGATGATGAAATGAGGTTTTGATATCGCGGGCAAATTATGCGACTTAAGATATGTCATCACTGGTAACGACGAACCTGTTGTAAATATGGTCCGTAAGACATTTATTTCAGTGTTGGCAATCAGTTACTGTGGGGTCCAAGTGAAATAAAAAAAGATAATTATACATGTGAAATAAACTCGATTATTTCACTCCCCTGACGTCATACAACAATGAGGTTATTAAGTTATTTCCATTAAAAGCCCATCGTCAATGTAATAAAAAGATAAACTAATCAAATAATTCAAGTATCGAAAAATATTGAACTCGTGATTAAAAAACACTGATATTTAACGCATGCGCTACCCGCATACGTGAAATAATGGGTTGTTTGGGCCTCATTGAATATTTTTCGGAATAGAAACTGTTCATTTACCGCTCTAAAACGGTATTACATTTAGCACAAATCATTTCAAGTTAACACTAAACCTTTTTTAGAAGATATAACTTTATCAGTCCGGCTCTTTACGTCTTCGAATAGTAATTCATTTTATTAAAACAACCACAACATTGTTCTTTGCCATTTCCATGTGACTTTTTCTATTTTCTCCTAATCCAGGATAATTAACCAGATACAAATTAATATAAAATACGTATAATCAAATATCTACATATCACGAAATAATTAGAATTTGCATGAACCGAATTTAATTAAACTAAAATCAGAACTTTTCATCATAGCTCTAAAACGGTACCCCATTTGGCAAAGTTGTCCAAAGTTACTGCTAAATGAGGAAAGCTTACCATTTTCAAAGCAATATCACCTTCAAAAATAAAATCATATGATAAACAAAAACACAAAAGAAATCGTTGTGCCATATATTAAATATGAGCGTAGGTTTTTATGTGATGAGTATTGACAACTTAGGTAACATTTTTTCTGTCTATTCGATATAACCTATAAAAAAAAATGTGTTGCACACTTTTAAATAACCCGCTACGCGGGTTATTCAGTGTACACCACATTTTTTATTTATTTCTTCATAGACAGAAAAAACATTTATAATTACAGTCATTCCTTAAAGATTTGATTCCACAGATATATAGCACGTTTCAGTTTTTCATTTTCCAAGATTATTATTGCATTGATGAATATGAATTATGTCATGCAGACATAATTTTCAAAAATGTTATTTTGCAGGGACTTAAGCATGAATCAAATTTCAACGCTCGCCGTGAATATCTTTCAAGGTTTGACAGCTCTCAAGAAATTGTAAGTATTTTGATCCCTCTAAAAACAATTTACCTTCATGTGTTTAGGGTTTGCTGTCGCAATGATTTATCTTCACTTTTTGAACATATTTTGCAATTTCCTACTAATATTGATAAATGCGTGTTTATTTAATGTGTTATTACATGTTAACTGTACCAATTTTTAGAAATAAAAAAATTAGAGCGATAAGACTAATGTTATTGAATTTTTAAAAAAACTAAGGTGATACAAATGTTTTGAAAACACAGATTACTATGTATCTGATTAGGGCAAGGTAGTTTACTTGAGCAGATACGACAGAATTTCAAGTAAATTGAGACAAAACCTTGATAAGTTGAAAAATTATTATCTTTCTGGTGGTATTCATTAGAACATATAAGATTAGTAGTATATCTTTCCCGAACAGTAAAATCTTTGCACTTTGACAACTTCAATTTGACTTTGCCCAAAACAATAACAGGAAAATGACACAAAGCTACTAAATATCTAAATTCATTTTCAACCTCTTTTTCTGCAATATTCTTAGAGTATGTATCAATTTCCTTGATAAATCGGGGTACCGTTTCTTAAAAAAATGTTTCTTTAGTGTTTTTGAAACGATATGCAGACAAGTTCAATCCCCCCTTTCGAATGATCTGCTAAAAGATGTGTTCTTTCTATGTGACGTCATCAGACATGGTCGCCTTTTTTCAGGACGTAACAATAGAAAATTCAGGAGAAAGCAAGAAAATGTGACGTCATAATCGTATTTCTACCAATGAAGAACTGAATGGTTCACACGTTGATTAAATAAAAATAATCAACAGGTCAGGAAAAGGATAAATCGTGTAAGAATTAGAGAAAAGCATTTATCGCTATATTTCGATAAAATTCTGACTCTGATCGAGTGCAAAAGTCAAAATATAATTCTCCCATTGTAGCTCAAAAAATGTACCCCAATCTGCAACGTTTTAGTTAGTTTTTAAAAATGACGATGGGAACCCGTTTTAAGACCAATATTACTCCCAAAATATCCTTTGATAGAAAACACAAAGGAAACAATTGTGCAAAAACATAATGTATGGCTTGAGACTTTTATGTGTTTAATACGAACAACTCAGATAACCGAAATAAACATTATGAACTGATATGTCTGTCAGTATCATTTTGAAACTGGTGTCTGCCTAGACATAACCCCATTCAGTTTAGGCATTACTTCGCTCAAGATTGAGAGGATGAAATGAGGTTTTGATATCGCGGGCAAATTATGCGACTTAAGATATGTCAACACTGGTAACGACGAACCTGTTGTAAATATGGTCCGTAAGATAATTTTGTTTGTATTCAAATTTATGATCGGTTATGCGGTTAAACTGTCTGAAGACTAGATTTTTAAGCCGAGCATCAACATGTTATATTTTGCATAAATCATTAAAGTCACACATGGACTATAACCTTGTGTTGTATTGAAGACATTTATTTCAGTGTTGGCAATCAGTTACTGTGGGGTCCAAGTGAAATAAAAATCGATAATTATACATGTGAAATAAACTCGATTATTTCACTCCCCTGACGTCATACAACAATGAGGTTATTAAGTTATTTCCATTAAAAGCCCATCGTCAATGTAATAAAAAGATTAACTAATCAAATAATTCAAGTATCGAAATATATTGAACTCGTGATTGAAAAACACTGATATTTAACGCATGCGCTACGCGCATACGTGAAATAATGGGTTGTTTGGGCCTCATTGAATATTTTTCGGAATAGAAATTGTTCATTTACAGCTCTAAAACGGTATTACATTTAGCAAATATGTCTTTACCTACTTCTGAATGAGAAAAGTAGAAAATTATCAGACCAACATCATTTTACCAAAAATATGTTAGTTAAGTAAATTAAAAGGAAATGGTTAAAAATATGCAAAATATAATATGTATAGCGTAAAGTAATAGATTAGGTTGAAATGGACAACTTAGGTAAATGAACTGAAAATGTTGTGACATCATCCTTCGGAGGTTAATGTCTGCATGCACACAACAACGTTCTACTTAACGTCATGGTCACTGACTATGTTTTTATCTTTTTAAAAAACTTTCCCCAAAGATTTTAAAATATGGATTGATTTAGTTTGTATAATGGTTAAAGTCTATTTCAAGAAATTAAAAATTGTTCTTTAAATTAATCCTATTGAATAGGTCAAATAACTGAATATCATCAATTGCCAAAATCTCTCAAAGATATATTAATTTGTGTCAATTTGATTTAGTATTACATGTAAAATTAACAATATTAAAGAAATAACAAATAAGAACTTTAAGATTTATGTTATTGAATTGCCGATATAAGTTAAGGGGGTAGGACGCAGAGGTTTACCTTTATCTGTTTATGAAAAGATAGTTTACAGGAGCAAAGATGACAGAATTCTTAATCAATTTGAGACCAAACCTTAATAAAGAGATAAGCATTTTAGATCTATTTATGATTCAACTAACCAAATACAACCACCTGGTTATAAGTACATTGTATATATATATATATATATGAACAACACACGAATTAAGTGTCGAGGTATAACACGGGTGTGAGTCCGCAAGCCTTTGCCAACCTTAAACAGTGATGTAACAAAATAACTATGAGAACAAACTTTACAAATTTTCTGAAAGTGATTTATTCATCAAATCAACAAAAAACATCTGTCAGTATATCTGCAATACCTTTACTTGGTTTTAAACAGATACATCACACTTCAATGTGTCTTCTTTTTATACGGTAAATATGTTTGGATTGATGAATACAAAATATTTTATACTGAAATGCGCTTTAAAAGATATTATTTTACAGGAACCTGTATGACATCCAAATTGTAACACTTGACGTAAATCTCTTTAATGGCTTGACAGCACTGACGGAATTGTAAGTAACTTGATTCACATACAACTGTTTGACTTCATGTCATGCTGGTTTGCCACGCAATGATTTAATTTATTTGAAGTTTTTTTTCCATTTTCGTCCACTGATATAATAATTTGTGACTATTTCATTTTGTATTTCATGAAAAGTGTACAATTTAAAGAAATAACAAATAAGGACTTCAGATATATGATATTGAATGCTGTTATAAGTTAAGTGGATAGAAATTTTGGCATTGGAGGGGTTTCCCCGTATCTGTTTAGGACAATATACTTTACAGGAAAAGAGATGACACAATTCCTGTCAAAATTGAGACCAAACCTTAGTTAAGAGAAAAAGCATTTTCGACCTGGTTTAATATATTTGTACTTTTTTTTTATAAGTACATATTGTCAGAAGGATACAATATTTGCACTTTGGACTATCACAGTTTGAATTACTTGTATTTGCCAAAAAAATAATTGTTACATTGTATGAAGCTATTGAATATCTATTATAGCCGTTTATTTTTCAACTTTTTTTAAAACTGTCTGCACAATTCCTCAAAATATATATACTAATAGCTATGATCGTTTCTAAGAAATAATCAATAAACATGTTAGCAAATTGATAAAACAGTTTAGTGAATTCAGACTTTTTTGTTATATGTTCTATCTTTTGTTAATTATCTTGGTTTTGTGTTAAGAGGTAACATGCATTAACACATATTGAAATATAATGATATAAAGCTAAAATTATTTTTTTTTCCAATTACAGCTGTAAAACAGTATTTCATTTGACAAAGTTGTCGTTACTTACTACTGAATGATAAAGGCAGGAAAATTATCAGACCAATATCACTTCACAAAAATATTTTGGTAAAATCATCTGCCTTTTGTTAATTGAATGGTTACCTTCTATTTTAATGATGAAATAGTTGATTTGAGCAGGGAAGACAAACTGTTTATAACTGAACTATTTAGATTAAACTTTTATAACGACGAATACTCTTCTCAATCCGGCGATTTAAGTGTGCTATAAATAATTCACATTTTGAGAACAACCAAAACATAGTACTTAATGATGCTTTGCATTTGACTTTTCTTTTCTCTTTTTCAAAAACCGCATGCGCTTCAAAGAGAAATGAATGAATTTCGCTTTAATTTGATTTGGTATCATTTTAACCCTTTCACTGCCACACCAATTCAATACTTTGCCAAGGCAGATTTAGGGTATTCAAAAAACAACTGTACCGCTTATGACGTCCACAATGAGAGAACGTCACGGAGAGGGGCACAGATGGAGGTATGCATGCATGTACAGAACAATTATCTCGGGTTTTTTAACGTTTTGATCCGAAACGCAGCAGAAGAAATGTGAGTTCTACGTATTTGAGGGGTTCCGTAGTAATTTTAAGCGATATATTTTTTGAATTATTTTTAAAGTTAATCTAATAAAAGTATATCAGTTAAACCTGAATATTGAAAATCGAACATTCAGGCCTATTGATCGAGTATGTCTTATTGAAATCCAAACTACTTTAAAATTACTAAGTTTCATTTACATGTATATACTGAACATTTGTAGAAGTTGATTTTGAACATGCATGCGACATATCATAAAAACATTTTTTTTGATAAGTATATTGGGGATTCCGGAAATAACATGAACTATTTCTATTGTGTTGTAATTGGTTTTAAACTAGCTTTCAGTGTGCGAATACTGTCAGATCTATACTTTGTGTCTTTTGTTTTTTTGGTGGTTGTTTTTGTTTCGATCTGACGAGTTAAGCACTTTTCAAGTGATACGGGAGACGGATTTATAAAAGTTTTTCCAAACTTGTTTCCGAATCCCATATTTGAATTTTATGTAAAATTATACTACTGCATTGTTATAAGTTTCCAAAAATAAAAACTGCTCAAGCAATGTGTTCTTTTATAATTTGTTCTTACTGTGTGCCGTTACACCACTGTCCTGTTGGGGAGGGGCACCCACAAACATGTTTATATTCATTTTATATGTGTCTGTCACAATTCAAGAGCCTGTAATTGAGTGGTTGCATGGCGTTTGTTGCTGTTTATAATATTTGTTTTCGTTTATTGTTTTGTTCATAAATCAGGCCGCAAGATTTCTCGTTTGAACTGTTTTCATTTGTCATGCATTTCAGGGCCTTTATAGCTTGCTTTGCTGTATGAGATCTGCTCATTGTTGAATGCGATACGGTGATCTATAGTTGCTTACTTCTACGCCATTTGGTTCTGGTGGAGAATTGTCTCATTAGCAGTTATACCACATCTTCTAAGTTTAATATCATGTGTACACTCAGAAAGAACGATTATTTCATGCAAATCTACGATTTCTTAAAAGTTCGATAGAGTTTCAACAGTTGGTCATCGGATTCACAGTATGAACTTTTTGCAAGTTATATTGACACGGCAGAAAGTAAAATAAATTATTTCGAATTCACGATATGTACCACATTTAATTAAACCATGGGAGAACAGTTCTATTGAACATAGATAATACAGATAACATGTATCAACATGATTACACGGGACTTTCAGGATTTCTCTCCTGTAAATAAATAACTCGCCATGCAAATATTTAAAGAGCCATTTAAAAAAATTCTTTGAATGAAAAATACGGGTATTTATGTGTTTGGAGGGCGTTCATTTTGAAAATAACATTTTTAAGGTAGATCGGATTTCTTCCACCAGCTCGGATTTGTAACTTACTAGAAAACAATCGATCTACAACTTTAATGAAATATGCATTTTAAATGAGGAATGCAATTCATTTTTAAGTCTTTTCATTTCAACGAAGATAATTATGTGGTTTATTCTATTATTCCGATAGATCTGAAAAAATTGCAAAACATGCAGCTTGACAAAAATCTCCGTGACTTCACTTTTTGTCAGAGTTTTGAAAACAACATGAGTCTTCATTTAAAGTATGAACAAATTCTAATTTTTTTCTTTTAACTTAAAAACCCTGCTCTACTTGACTTGAATAATTATATGTTTTAAAAGACTGTAGAGTGAGTGACCCATATTCGCCGCATAATTCGTTCATTTCTACTTACATCCAACCTACATTCGATGATTTGGAACTTTTTATGTAGGTTTCAGAAATTTTACTATATGAAAAAAAATGTTTGATAAAGGAATCATCTTCAAAACATTGGTTAATTGTTCTAAAAATAAACGCTAACTCAAGAGGAAATCAAGTTGTTCGTGTACCATGGGGGACACATTTTCGCCGCAATGTATGATATGACCATCCTCATTATCCTGGTATATTATAAAAACGAATGTTTGCAATTACATGAATTAGCTTGAGAGATCATTCCTATACGATTTTTCTCACAAATATTTTCTTTTAAGACTGCGCATGGTTGCCATATAAGATCATATAAATCTAACATAATTGCCAAAATCGTCTAAAACACCTGCGAATTTCTGTATATGTGCGAATAACCTTGGAAATGGGGATAAAGAGGAATATCAACCGTTCGAACATTACAAACAGCTTTTAAAATATTTAGGCAAGTATTGGGTAAAGGCACACGAATTTTACAGAAAAAATAGCAAAACGGCGAAAATGTGTCCACGGCGAATATGCGCCATCGACTCTATAGTTGTCCTACTTGCTTCTTTCACATTTTTCCTGAAACGATCATTATTTTACGATGCAGTCTACAGTTATGACGTCATATTTTAGCATTACGTCAAGGTCATATGACGGCAGCAATGGGAATTCTGACCCTTGCAATAAATTGAAATATTCCTGCATTGAAACCCCGTGTCGAGCCTCAATGTATTACCTCTATCCATCTGTCACGTAACGTGTATTGTTACAGAACAGACGAAATAGGCAACCGTTGCCAAGCCTAAATAAAGACCGTTGGCATTTGAAAGGAGTACATAAAGCCTAAATATAGGCTTTACGGCATAGTAAGGGTTAAGAAATAAATAATAAAGACGTTGGGATTTATGTACTAGTAATTGAATTGACAATATCACTTAGGTGACCTGAATTTAGTCAATGAAATGTAGCCTTGATTCTTTTTTTAACAAGACAGTTAATGATACAACAAATATCCTGACAAATAAATTTATCAAAAATCACTGGTGTTAAACTGATCATGGTAATTGCAAATACCACGATCCCAACATGGCGGAGCCAAAAACAAGTTAAATCGTCTGCTTCTTATTTCTCCGTGTACACACGTTGTTTTCAAGAATTACTCAGGCGATAGGTTGATATGTACGGTATTGTGTGTGTGTGTGTGTGTGTGTGTGTGTGTGTGTGTGTGTGTGTGTGTGTGTGTTCTTAATATCATATGTGGCCTTGTTACCGAATAAATAGCCATCGAAAATTTACGGAGGATCATCGTAACTCCAAAAGAAGACAATCGTAACTTGTGGACAAATAACTTGAAAGATAATCGTAACTGTATAAAATATGTCTATGATCATAGTAACTGATTTTATCAGTACCTTCTGCGAAGGGAATATTTAATAATATATGCATGGTGAATGTGTCTTTGGGACACAGAGGATGTCCCCGCTTGCAAAAAAAAACGTTGTTGGCATAATACGGGTTATGTTCATATATTATATGATGGTATAATAATTAACCCTTAACGGGAGGTTTTGTGCTTAATTTTCATATGATGAAGACATAATCCATTAATCAGTTTAATTGAGGTCTGGAGCTGGCATGTCAGTAACTGCTAGTAGTCCTTTGTTAGTTTATGTATCGTTGTCATTTTGCTTAGTTTCTTTTGTTATCTATTGATATCGGACCCGGACTTCTTTTAAACAGAGTTATACTGTGCGAATTGCTATGTATTTCTTTATTCTGCATTCACTAGAGATAATGGGGAAGGGTTGAGATCTCACAAAACATGTTTAACACCGCCGCATTTTTGCGCCTGTCCCAAGTCAGGAACATCTGGCCTATGTCAGTCTTGAATATTTTTTTAACTTTAGTTCATTTATCTGTTTTGGAGTATGACGTAT